GGGAGTGGGCGGCATACAAATTTTATTAAATTTCAAGGGGAGGAAGACCAACCTGAATATAACATGGATTGTCTACAAAAAGGCATTTGTTTTCCTGCCACATGTTTTGATAATCAGATGTCTAGAAATAACATGAATCAGTACAAACATCTCAAGCTTTGTGCAAAGATCAATGGCACAGTGAAAAACAATATTGCTGGTCAATTGTGATAAACTGGGACAGGTTAATATCAAAAGAGGAATTTTACAAGGCGATTCACTGTCATCACTACTGTTTGCCATTGCACTGATTCCTCTGTCAATAATTTTGAAAAAGTTGCCCCATGATTATCAAACATCGAAAACATCTGTCAGGCAATCTCACATCTTTTACATGGATGATCTGAAGCTGTATAAAAATACACCATCTGAAATAGAATCGCTGCTTGACATGTCCAAAGTATTGCAATGGAGTCTGCACTGGACAAATGTTCCACCCTCACCATCAGTAGAGAAAAATAGTGAAAGCTGAAGGATGCCCTACAGAAATAACACTGAATCTAGATGAAGAAGATTACTACAAATATGTCAGCATACTTCAGGCTCAAGCACACTGAAGTCAAGGAGAAGGCTAAGAGTTCAAACTCACTTGTAGAAATACCATTAAGGCAATTAATACCTGGGCAATTCCAGTCATTAGACTGGGATAGTCGATTGGACTAAAACTGAACTAAAAGCCCTGGATAGGAAGACCAGAAACATAATGACATTGAATCGTGTCCTTTATCAGTGCAGTAATGTTGACAGACTAGCTGGGTGTGGAATGCTGCAAGTACACCAGACAGTTGAATAAGAAGAAAGGACATTGGAAGAATATCTGAAGGGCAGTGAAGAAGATATACTGAAGCTAGTACACTATGAAGCCTCACTGAGTACTGTAAAGACGAAACTGGCCTTCAAGAAAGACCAAATGAAAGATAGAAAAGAGACATGACAAGGCAAAGTGGTATTACATGGCCAATACATTAAAAAAATAGCAGGCAAAGCAGATAACAATAAGACTTGGCAATACCTAAGAGCAGGAAAATTGAAAACAGAGGGACAAATTCTGGCTGCATAAGATGAAGCCTTAAGAATGCATACAAGGCCAAAATTGAGAGGACAGCAACAGATAGTAAATGCAGGCCTCTGAAAAGAAGTTGAAGAAAAACTTAGGCCTCCTCCGGATTCCATCTGGTGACTCCTCGGGGGAAGGCCTTCTCTGTGGCTGCTCCAGCCCTCTGATCTCCCCGTGGAGATCCGGACCCTTACTACCCTTCCGACCTTCCGCAAAGCAGTTAAGACCTGGCTGTTCCGGCAGGCCTGAGGCTGTTGAACTATCCAGCCCCATTCGAGGTTACGGCTGTTGTAGTATTTTAAACTGTTTGTTTAAATTGTTTGTTTTTATTTTATTTTTTATATCCCCTCCCTTTTTATTGTAAGCCGCCCTGAGTCTCTCGGGAATAGGGCGGCATACAAACCTAATAAATGAATGAAATGAAATGAAATGACTTAGCCGCTAAAGAACAGACTGACTCTAAACAATGGTAGGACAAAGTAGCAAAAACAGTGCATTGGAAAATCTGCAAGATATACCATTTGCCTTCCAGCAAGAACGAGTGGGACAACAAAATAATAGAAAATGAAAAAACTGGGACTTTAGAATTCAAACAGAAAGACCCTGGCTATATAATATCTGGATTAGAAAGGCAAAAAATGTTTGGATAGTGCATGTTGCAGTATCATGTGGTGCCTTTATTCTAATCCTTGTAGAGGCAACAGATTAGAATTTTGACAATCCTTTTATCCTCTCTAGCAACAGATCCATACTCTTTTGAGAAGTTCATTTTTAAGGAGTTCAATGGGTAAGGAAGAAAAGCAGAAATCAGATCCTCCACCTTTCATCCTATGTATCATTTTCCATGTTTGACATTCCTTTGATTTTTAAAAAAAGTTCTTCAAAGTCCAGTTGAAGCAAATGATGCCCCAGCACCTTCTACTTTTCATCCAATTAGCTACATTGTTCATTGTGATGATTTTAAAATACTGTACATTCTGAATAAGCATACTCTTTATGAAATGATCATAATAGCCTAGATTTTCTGTCTGTCTCTCTCTCTCTTTCTCTCTATCTAGTTATCTAGTTATTTAGCTATCTAGCTATTTATCATCTAGCTAGCTATCTCTTGGCAATTCAATCACAATTGTTTACCTGTTTTTGTTTTAAAGAATCAATAACTAAATCATAAGTATTATTGCTATAGGGATAAATTCAATAAAATATGGTAAATAGATTTGCTGCACAATGCTACTGAATTCTTCTGTGGGAGTAATGGCTTATCTTCCATGTTACTGGATGAGTTTTAGAACTAACGTACAAGTAAGGTTTTCTATCTCAGCTTCACTTCTCTGCATTGAGGATGATGATGTTACATTCCTAGCATTAAGAACATTCAGTCAATGTGGGTATGATTGTGGGTGGGTGGGCAAAAATCAACTTAAAATCTGCCAATCCCATGCTATACATTTTACATGGGTTTTATTACCCATTACATATCTATGGCAAGGAAATTCAGAAAGCCGTAAAAATACAGTTTAGGCTTATAGATAAAATATAGGAGCCTAATTGCCAGTATTATGCTGGTATAACAAGTTTTCAAAATAATAAAGCAGATATACTATTGGCTTGAAATGATTGCTGCTTCTTAGCAATTTACCTTGAGGGGAAAATATAGGGCTTTGTTTACCAAAACAAAATGGTTTTTCTTCAAGATTTGTCCTTGAAAATGGAGAGATCTATGTAGCCAAGTTCTTTACATTCATACACTTAAGCCTATCTTCTCCAACCTGTTTTTCAGATAGTCATTGTGTTTTGTGTTGCAAAAATCCTAATCATCAACTGTATCTCTTTTTTTTTTTAGCCATTTGTCATTTATGACATGCATTCCTTAATGATGGGAGAAGACCAGATCAAGTGTAAACATTTGACCCCCATGCAAGAGCAAAATAAAGAAGTGGCCATACGTATCTTCCAGCGCTGCCAGTTTCGCTCGGTGGAAGCTGTTCAGGAAATCACTGAATTTGCCAAAAACATTCCAGGTTTTGTGAGTTTAGACCTCAATGACCAAGTAACTCTCCTGAAATATGGAGTGCATGAGATCATCTATACACTCCTAGCCTCCATGATGAATAAAGATGGTGTTCTCATATCCAATGGACAAGGATTCATGACTCGGGAGTTCCTAAAGAGTCTGCGGAAACCTTTCTCTGACTTTATGGAGCCAAAATTTGAGTTTGCTGTCAAATTCAATGCACTGGAATTAGATGACAGTGACTTGGCAATATTTATAGCTGTCATTATTCTCAGTGGAGGTAAGTGTGAGAAAGTTACATAGTTCTCCTTCATTTGCAAAGATTTTAGCCAAGGTGCATGACTTCTGAGCTGCCCAAGCATCCCATATTTAGCACACCAGCCTTGTATTTCCGTTCCCACTCAGAACATTAAAATAGAGACTAAATCCCTGGTGTAGTTATAAATGCTTCCTGAACTGCTTTCACTTGACTCATAAATTGGGCGGTCCTGATATGAAAACTCTGCTACTTTATTATGGATAGGCTCTTGTCTCCCCAAGTCTAGTTTACATATGTGCAATGATCCTTTTAGAACAAAGATTATTGAGGCAATTTTTCTTATCCTACTATATGCAGTTTGGAAGATGAATGAAATGAACAATTGCCCTTTTTGAAAGAGTTTAAGCATCCAAAAGAGTCTTAAGTATTCTCCAGAAAGTATACATCAGGAATCCTGGGAGTTCTAAAAGTCTGGATTTTTGGATCTATATGCAGCTGCTCCACATCCAATGACTACATTTTAGCTGGTTGACTGACTCTATTTGTTCTGGTTATTGGATCCCCTTGGGAAGAAAAATGCAAGAATCTTTGTGTTAATTAAACCTTGCTTGACCAATCTGATATTTTGGAGCCCTGGTTTCTTTCTGTAATCAATGATTGCCTTTCAGTCTGAATCTCTGCTTGTATCTCAGTTCTGGTTTGTCCTTCAGTTCTTGTTCTTTGGTCCCAGAAAACTGGTTTTGCCCTTTGTCTCCTGATTCCATTCAGACAGCCCTGGTAGTTCAGTCACAAAAGTAAGGACTGGAAAACTATCTTGTACCAGGACAAACTATGAAACCCAACATTATTGGTTCTGATTAATAGCTGTTTGTCAGAGTCTGCAGCAGACGTCTTGAGACTGAGCATGGGGCCACGTGTAAACAAAAAAGTGTCAGGTGGACCTATGTGTTTCTTTGTGATTCTATGCATCTCCAGTGTAACCCTACTGAGTTGAGTTGCTGCTGCTTGTCACGCTATGCAGTGCTATGTTTTCCTTATGCAGAACCAGGCGCCACCACTCTTACATAATTTCATCTCTCTGATTGCTTCTTTCTCTCAACCACATTTGAGGTTTGCATGATTCAACAAGTGTCAGGATTAAAGGAGCTTAATTATTATTTGGCACTTTTCACTTGGAACTGCAGCATTAAGGCATGTTGTTAGTTAAACTAAAAGCTCATTTAGCAAGAATTTATACTATAAGAATTCTTGAGTAAGATGTTGGTGTAAGTGACTGAGTGGCTCTGAATAAAGGCAAAAATCAAAGTTGATTTTTCTTTTGAGAGCTGCTTCCAGCATACCAAATTCAGTTCCATTCTGTTTTCAGAGTATTATGGTATTGATGGACTAAGTCCCGAGTCCTCCTAAATATTTCTTTTCCAGCATGCCATTAGATTGGAAAGAATAAAAAGCTGTATTATTTCAAGAAATATTTAAAAAAAATGAGTTACAATTAGTCACAGATGCAATAAGACAGGAGTTATGACACTTTGCAAAGGAATGAATCATTAATATCATTTCTCTTTTCCTTCACTTTGATATGACAAATTCAAGAATTTACTCTAAATGATATAATTCAACAAAAATTAAATTGAGAAGTACAGTGTCTTGGAATGCAAGATTGTCAGGGGAAAAACTACCTTCCATCTCAAGAAATTCCTTTGAGTTGGATGGTACTTTTTGATAATAAAGGTTAGAAAATGTCTTCCTGATTGCTTTCCTCAAAACACTGAACACATAAGGAAAAAAGAAAATCTGAATGAATTTCAAGTATGGATGTTTCAAATATGAATACTTTTTAACCTTTTTTAAACTTTTATTTTAACAGATATTTAGAAATGCAACCAAGGGAGAGGAACAAGGATATAAATATTTCTAGGCTATAAAAAATTGAATAAGAATTTTCAAAATAACATTACAATTGGATGTGTTTACAATTGAAAAATAAGAGAAAATTCAAATCCATAAGGCAATATTGTACCATTGAGTTCTGCTGAAAAGGAATCAGTGGAAATTGCATTCTTCATTAGGTGCTTAAATCCATTATATTTTCAATGCAATTAGAGTTAAGGTATAAATTCACATCCTTTTCCGTTCTTCTGTCTGCCTGGAAACCCTAGAGTAGAATCTACTAGGACTGAACCAGCTAGTAGACATTTTTAGCAAAGCCTTATTTAGTGCCTGTAAGATTCTTGCATGAGAAATTTTTTCTCTGAAATATTTGTATTCTTGTTTGATTGATTGGTTGGTTGATTACATGCCATCAAGTTGATGTCAAATCTTAGTTCTTACAGCAGCACTTCCTATCACTTCTGTAACTAAATCTATCCATTTTGCTACTCACTGTCCTCTTCTCTTTCCTTCTCCCTTCCCCAATATTAAAGCCGTCTCCAGAGAGCTGAGTTTGCATCTCTCCAAAGTAAAGTAATTGGAGCCTAATCATTTGTGTCTTGATTGGGAACTCTGGGTTAATTTGTTCAGTGATCCATCTGGTTTGTTTTCTTGTATGTCTACAGTATTCTCAGGAGGTTTTTTTTAGATTTCGGATTTTTTTTATCACACACTTATTATTTTTATAAATAACTCAAGATGGTGAACACACCTAATTCTCTTTCTTCCTCTTATTTTCTCACAATACCAAACCAGAGGTGGGTTCCTACCAGTTCAGACCGGTTCGGCTGAACCGGTAGTCATTTGGCGGCCTAGGTCACTGGAACCAGCAGCCACCCCGGTCTGCCATGCCCCTGAACTAGTTCTCTTATAGGGCCACCATATTGATATTCAGTTCTGCACATGCACAAATTTTAATTTTTTCCTTTTTTAACGTTTTGCACATGCGCAGACCTATTTTTGTGCATTTTGCGTGCACCGAACTGGCAGGAATGCGGGGAGCAACCCACTCCTGTATCAAACCTGTGAAGTGGATTTGGCTGAGAGACAGTAACTGGCCCAATGTCACCCAGCTGCTTTTCATGTCTAAGATGGGACTAGAATTCATATCCTCCTGCTTTCTAGCCAGATTCCTTAACTAATGGACTAAACTGGGTTCTTCTCCAACATCGAAAGCATCAATACTCTTCCTATTTTGTTTCTTCAGTGGTTTTTTTTTTGTATAAATGTTTAATATTTAAAATAGCATCTTCAGTGAACTTGGAGACAAATGTATAAGCAGACCAATTGTAAATTAAAATTTCAAAAGGATTTAATATGTATTTGCCTATAGAATGCCCCAAAACAAAGCTTCCACAAAATGGACAATTTGCTGCCTTCATAGTCTTTTAAATCTTCAGGGCATTACATATTTACAATAATTGTGTCTGAAGTTGTACAGATTAAAATTTTCAAGTAATAATTGCACTGTGATTTGAATAATTGAAACTATTGAAAAATGTACAGTCTAGAAATAAGTTATTTTGAAGCTTTAAGTCGCAGTTTTAAGACAAACTTTTAAGTTATAGTTTTCTTCATAGTTTTCATTCTGCTACCAGAATTCTGCCCGAAATAATCCTTTCCAGTTTCGTTTCACTGAAGCTTCTTCACCACCTTCCCAGTTGCTCTGGGAATTTTAAGGAAAAGTGGAATAGTTTACAGCAGGAGAAAGGGGATCAGAAGAGATTGCTTTCCCTTTCCCATTGCAGGATTCCCACACTAGATTAACAGTCTCTTTTGAAAAACAACTATCTGCTAAATACTTCTGTTGGATCCAATCTAGTTGAAAATACTATTTTTTTTTCAGGGCTTGAACTGTTTTATCAGTATAGGAATTGCTGTTTACAGATTGAAAAAGACAAACTCTCATTTAAAAGGACAAACCAATCAACAGTTTTGAGGGATATTCCACCTATTAAGCATTTTTTTATATAACTGTAAAGATATGTGCAGCCAGTGCTAGTTTCTTTGAATTTAAAACCTGATTTGTTCTGTACTCATTAAAATCAGGCACGCAACTGCTGAGTCACACTGACATTATGATAAGAGTTCCCAGCCAAATGCTTATTCTTGTTCTAAATGAGCTTCAGTAGCAATTGCTCTTAAGAGATAAGAATACATAGGAATTTTGCAAGTGTACATAGAACATAAAATAATTGTTATAAACATTTTGTAAGTGAATGATTAACAGAAAGTAGGGTTCTCTTTGAGACTGTTGAAGAATAAAAGAGACTTCCACACTGGATAAAAGCCTATCTCTATATATGGTCATCTACTTTGGGAACATTGTTTCAACTTTACATTTTACGTAATTATCAGTCTTTCAAAAATAATGTTGATATTATTGATATTACAATAGAAGAACTCCTAGTGTTTATTTCTAGTTTAACTAAACTACAGTACAGTTTAATTTTAAACTAAAGGAATGATAGAAGTTCATTTTTATCACTTCTATTTAATGTTTCCTATGACTATTTGGGGACAGAGGCATATGTGCCACCCTATGTTAGGACTTCATCCTAAAGTCTCCCTGGAATTTATCTTTAAATGCATTGAAGTGTCCAACTATTCAAATTCCAACTAGGTTTCATAATTTTTTTAAATGCTTCAGCATCATAAGCTTGGCCTTGATTTGCATGTACTTTAAGAGGGAAGACTCTTGGAGAAAGCATTAAGGTTTTCTTTATTTTCTTGGGTTCTTCTCAATGACAAACAAGAAAAGGGGTGAGAAAATAGGTAAGGGCTTCAAATTAAAGGGACATCTGGATCCCTTGATAAACTCAGGAAACAATAATTATGTGGTAGCGCAGTGGTTAGAGTGCAGTACTGCAAGTTCCTTCTGCTGACTGCCAGCTGCCTGCAATTTAGCAATTCAAATCTCACCAGGCTCGAGGTTGACTCAGCTTTCCATCCTTCCGAGGTGGGTAAAATGAGGACCCGAGTTGTTGGGGGCAATATGCTGACTCTGTAAACCACTTAGAGAGGGCTCTAAAGCACTATGGGGCTGCCCTTGAAGAGCATCCGAAGACTTCAGCTAGTCCAGAATGCGGCCGCGCGAGTGATTGTGGGCGCACCGCGGTTCGCCCACATAACACCGATCCTCCGTGAGCTGCACTGGCTACCTGTTGATCTCCGGGTGCACTTCAAGGTCTTACTCACCACCTATAAAGCGCTCCATGGTAGTGGATCTGGCTATTTGAGAGACCGCCTTCTGCCAATTACCTCCCTGCGTCCCATCAGATCGCATAGAGTTGGCCTCCTCCGTATTCCATCCGCCAGTCAGTGCCGACTGGCGACTACTCGGAGGAGAGCCTTCTCTGTTGCGGCTCCGACACTATGGAACAATCTCCCCGTGGAGATTCGTACCCTCACCACCGTCCAGGCCTTCCGCACAGCCCTCAAGAACTGGCTAGCCCATCAGGCCTGGGGATAATCTTATTTTCGCCCCTCCCGAATGCTGAGTGAATGTTGAGTTTTACTGTCTAATTTACTTTGTGCACATTTCTTTTTGGTATTGTCCTACACTCCCCTTCCTTTTTTGATTGTAAGCCGCCCTGAGTCCCCTCAGGGAAAAGGGCGGCCTATAAATAAATAAATAAAATAAAATCTACTATAAAGCGGTGTGTAAATCTAACTGCTGTTGCAATTGCTAGGCTAAAAAAATCATTTTTTTTTATTATAGAAAAAAGAACCTGTAGAATTCAATTTGTTTTTATATTTATAAAAAATATATTTTATATTTGGGATGAAAGGAAGTTACTTTTAGACAAGTTGAATAATATTATATTGTTAACAACATTAAAGATAGACTGTTAGTGAAGCAAGGAAGGGGTTTTCTAGGATTTCAAAAACAATAGGAAAAGATGCTGCAGACTTTACGTTTGCTTAAATTTTATGTTTATGCACAATGAGTCATACCCAGATGTTTTAGCATTTGCAGATTATCAAAATGTTGTTAAAATCTATGTAATCTCCCCAAAGCCAGACATTTTTAAAAAAATTAATTGCCACATCTCTAAAATGTTTATCCTCAATACATAGCAGACAGATCTAAAAGTTTTGAATAAATGACCTTGAGTGTCACATGAGTAAGCTTCTGTTTGTGCAATATTACACAAGCAGTTTGTCTCTCGTTTCTCCTGCTTTTCTTGCAATAAATAAATAAATAAATGTGTTGTGCTCTTCCAAGCTTCTTGAGCAAATCTGGAACTAGGAAGAGGAAAGAGGGGAAGTCTGTTCTAACTGCAGAATCTCTTTTGCTTGCAGAAAGGCATCATAGGATGTAACTCGTAAAATGATGTAAACCCAGTATGCCTACTACTTTTTGACAAAGCTTTTCTGTGTGTCCTTTTTTATACTCTATGTCAGAGATGTCAAACTCGTGGCATCACGGCAGCATCATGTGACATATTCTGACCTTTTTCTACCTTCACTAAACTGGGTGTGGGTGTGTGCGACGCTTGACTCATTTTGCCCGCGGGTCGCAAGTTTGACAGATCTGCTCTGTGTTATTCTTTCTTCGTTTTATTTAAAGTAGAATGATATTATTTTTTTGGTAACTAACTTATTGATTGGGTTTACAATTCTGCAACGGTAGCTATGCCTTTGTGATTTCTGAGAAAAAATAAAACATTTGAGAAAATGATACTATATTCTTGTTATTAAAATATTTGGGAGGGTACATCGTTTCCCATATATTAGATCTAGTTAGTCAGTGGGAAATATAATGTAAAAACCCAAGTTATGAAGGAACTATCAAGTATATCAGTTTCAGTTTATATGGAATGCTGCCTTTTTTTGACACCTAGGGTAAATAAGTCATTTTGTGGTTTATATAATCAGGTTGTAAATCCTTACAAGAACTAGTTCAACCTACGTGAACTCCTTTAAACAGACACAGAGCTGATTTCTTGTTTTTGTCTGTTATTGTTTTAACTTCCTTCACTTAACACCATACGATGTCTATGACCTTGAGTAAAATCATATTCCAGTGTCAAAACTGAGAACTTAAACCTGGCTATGTAATTAACAGTTTTACTTAAATAACTTAATAGCAGTCAGTTTGGGCCTCTGAAGCTTGAGCTGCAGGCTTAATTGATCAAGGAAGTTACCCTTTCATGTTTAAGAATTGCTCTACAAAAGCTGCAGGAAAGGCCACCATGAGAATCTATAACCCAAACCTGGAAAATGACATTGGGTTGTTAGGTATCAAAAGATTTGCACAACTCCTAAAGTCATCATTTGTTGATTTCAGTCTTCTTCCCTTTATTCTTTGATGATGCACGAACTTTCTTGTCACGTGAGGGTGTCACTTGCTCTGTTCCCTCCTGTCTTCAGGCTACAAATCCTAGACAACAACAGATCCTTTTGTTGGTTTTGTGTGACTTCATCATCATTATCATTGTCCCCATGAGCATTTTGAATGAGACAAATGGAACTCTCTTACAGCACAGCTGGAGGACACTAGATTAGTGAAAGCTGTACAGTACAGTACACCTTATCCAGACATCTGAGCCTGTACCCAATGCCCTCATCTACAACAAGATGACACCCAGCTTGTCCACTTACTTGAATGACTTAGCAATTGTTTTACTTATTAACTTTTGCCTTGCAGCATGAAGCCAGTGGATTCTGGTTATTGTGGTTTCACATTGCCAAGTGAGTTTAAGAGATTACATATTAGCAAGAGAGGCAGCAATGGTCACTTGCAGATGTTGTCAAAATAGGAACATTGTGCACAATTATTAGCAACATTTGGCTGTATTTTCATCCATTTTGCTTATAGAATTATAGAGTTTCTCCATTTGTCCAAAAGTCCAACATAAAGACAGGAGTTCAATTAAGCTGTGGCTGGATTTTAGTATTTTTTATTTTTCTCTTTTTAGGATATAAGGCTATAGAGCAGGGAAAATTGAAAGAACTAACCCAAGAAATCTCATAAAACATTGTGGTGGTTTTGGTGGAGAGTTATTTGAATGTTGTCAACAACTTCATGTTAAATAAAAAATCATAAAGAAATTATAAACAAATGGCAAGAAAAAATATAATGAAAAGAGAGGTACAGGTAAAATTGTGTGTGAAGGAAAAGTACTCTGAAATGTGGCTAGAAAATATCTCTTTTGTGGCAGTCAAAAACTTATGGGTGATTCCAGTTCAGATGTCACTTAAAGGTAGTTTTCGCAATGCTAGAACTGCTTCATGAACCTTTATAATTCAACTATATTTATGGATATGTAGCTATATACATTTTAAAACAAATGGTTTTATTTGCTTCTAGATCGCCCTGGATTACTTAACGTGAAACCTATTGAAGATATTCAAGATAGTTTGCTGCAATCACTAGAACTCCAGTTAAAGCTGAATCACCCAGAATCATCACAGCTGTTTGCAAAATTGTTGCAGAAAATGACAGACCTCAGACAGATTGTAACAGAACATGTGCAGCTGTTGCAAATTATAAAGAAGACGGAGACAGATATGAGCCTTCATCCACTCCTACAAGAAATTTACAAAGATTTGTATTAAGGGTCATCAGAATACTAATTCATTTACATAAGTACGTTCATCAAATTGCACTATTTCTTTAAGAGGGAAAATATTACATACCTAAGAAATTACTGTGAAAAAAAACCATTTAAAAAGAGACAGAGCTTTACTATTATAGATCTATTTTATGCATATTGTTTATAAAAATACATTTACAATTTCCTTTTAATATTAAAATGTCTTTATCATCAAAATGTTGACTGTATTTACCAGATTCTTTTTTCCTGGTTTATTTAATATAATAGCACTGCTTTTTCAATGATTTAAAAATAACATTGGAGTAATAGTATAGTTCAGCTTCACTGCAAAGAAGAGTAATTTCCCCCTCAAGGGAAGTTTTATGGATCTTGATGTGGTTATGAATCAACAACAATTAGACAGGTCACTGCATTATTCTACAGTGCTCGAATTTTATACATCTAACTTTGAAACAAGTTTTTCAGAAAGGTGCAAAAGGGCCTGATTTCAAAAAATAATAATTAGCTTGCGGGTATTTAAAAACATTCCTGACATTTATCTGGGTTTGAAAGAGATGGTCAGAAGAATGATTTTTTTATGATTTACATTTATATTAAATATATGTACGTTTCAAGGTGCTCAGGATATGTACTGCAAAATTAGTTTTATGCTTAGTTTTATATACTTCCATTTATATTGTATGCTGATTTCAAATGTGAGCTGCCTAGCCGCCTTGTTTTCTTCTCTGCTGCCTTTAGTGGTAGTTTGGCACAGGACCAGAAATTCAGATTTGCCCTGAGATGTAAAACACTCCCTGTATGTGGCAGTGAAGGTGGCAGAAGCAGGCTCTTTTGATCTTGGCAAAGCTGGCAGAGAGATTCCTCATGTGATTGCCCTCAAGCAAGCCAAACGTTGCAAAGCAACAGGGCAGATTTTATGGGACTGCTGTTTGGATTAGTATTTATAGGGCAGCAAGTTAGAACAAGATAGCATTCATCAACTTCTGACTGAGAAAGGAAATTGTTGTCCACTGGAAATGCTGGACGACTTTGGAAAGCCTACTGGTATCACTGTTCAGACAGATCATGCATCTGTCCTGCTTTTGGTATCCTGGGAGTTTGGGAGGCTGAGCCAAAATGGAAATGTAGGAAGCATCTTTATCCTCTCATTCCCCTCAAGTAAATATGCTGCTAATGCTGAAGATTTAGAATGGTGTAAATGGCCTGAAAAATAACACCAATGCAGGCAAAGTACTGATCACCATGATCTAAATCAGTGGTTCCCAACGTGGGGCCCATGCCCCACAATTTGATTTTTAATGGGGGCAATTTGAACCCTGTTTAAACCAAATTAATGGCCTTTTAGGCTTCCTCCGCATGAGTAGAGTTCACTTTTTGACTAAGGTAAGAATTATATGTCACAGGGTGGGCATCACGGAACCACTGATCTAAATACTATGGCTCAGGGAAAATCTCCATAGTGAGAGTGAATTAAATCAGAGGTAGATAACGGGTGGTTGTTCAGATATTGCTGAATTAGAGCTCCCAGTCTCCCAAACCCTTCTGGCCAGTGGTGAGAGATACTAGGAGTGATAGCTTAGCAACCTCTGAATGATGTAAGTTATCTGTCTTTACTATAAACTGTGAATAAATGAATAAACTTAATCAGGTTTTTGATCCACTGTGGATCTTCAAATCTTCTCTCAAAAATTATCTAAGGAGAATAGATGGAAACAACAAGGAAGCATCATTGCAGGTCATGGTGAGTTAGCCTGTCAGCAGCCATGCTTCTAAAGTGAGTTGAATTTGCTAGTCTCTGCCTTGAACACAATTGTGGTTGTCTCCAGTAGGAGATAGCTCTCCATTGGCTGCTCCTAGAATGGTACTGCTAGGGATCAAACGTCTTATACATTTAAACCTCTGGTTTGCTTCCAACACAATGAACAAAACCATACTAGGAGATATGAACAAGTATACACATACCTATTGAATCAAACCAATAGGACTGCATAGCTAAAGCAACTCAAATGTGAACTGTATTAATTATCAAAACTGAAAAGGATTCATAAATTAATTCATTACATCCGGATTCCCCGTGGTTTGTACAAAGCTTGAACATAAAGTGTGCTCTTAAAACTTGCAACTTTGTGACATGTTGCTAGAAAGGCTAATGCTGATTCCATTCCGATGAATTGGTTTGGCAGGAGATTTATTCTATGTGGAAATGTGTGTTCAATACTTGGCAAATAATAGCAAATAACTAGGATTCAAGAATATCTGCAAAGCAGATTTGATCTCATTGATTTCCAGCTGTTTCTCACTTCTAATTTCTATGAATAATTTACATGTGGGAAACACAATGTGTAAGAATTTAATGAGAGATTATAGATCAAGTCAGGATAGCAATCCAACGTGCCTTAAATAAAATGCCATTTTTAATTTCCTTACTAAAAATAAGGAAATATGCCTATTTCAGATTTTGATTTCAACTGGTGCTATAGTTTGAGAAAAAATGAAAATATAAAGGGATAAATAAAAATTATATTATAGTTTAGATATCATACTACATTTTTTCATAATAAAATTGTTATTAACTTTTATGCCAAAATGATATTCAAAAACTTAGGCATTTATCTGTTTAAAGTGGCAAGCTGAATTATGAATGAGGTACAAGTATAACATTTTTAGCATTTATCAGGGTTTGAAATAAAAAAAAGGTTTTCACCATGAGCTCTGTACTTAATTAGACCATTCACCCACTTCAGGGAAAAACCCTTTTTCAAAAGTCCTAGTATTTTCTCATGTGAATTATAATCATAATTTTGGTTTGAGTTTAAATATATTCTGCTTCTATGGGATTTTATTTATTAAAAAAAGCTTGCTCATGTCAATTTATGTAGGCTGTGTTATTTTCAGAACCTCGAGGGCTTTGGTGAAAATATTCCAAATCATAAATCACTGACTGTTTTTTAAAAACATGACTGTAACCTAAAACATTTGTTCACTTGAAATTAACATATGTGTTCTTTTTTCTTGTCTTGTCTTTATTTTTCTTTTCTGAATCTTAGCAGGTATATGTTGTATATTCTCTTCTTTTTTAGAATACCTATTACATAAAAGGGGCAAAATTTTGATTGGGCAATTCAATTCAGTACAATACGTTTGATTTTAGATATATTATATATATATATATATAATAGATGATAAACAAAATAAAGTTTAAGACAAAGTTAAAATACACTTATAAACAACCTAAATAGCGTACATAAGTAAGGATGCACTCTATATCAAATTATAGTGTGCTCACCAAAATTAGTGTAATGGGCAATATGTTTCCCTTCATTTGAACAAACACATGTATGCGCACATACACAGCCTTAAATGACTGGCATAAAAATGTTTATATGCTTCTATCCACATTTTTAGGAATGCGATAAACTACTGAAGTTACCAATTGTGTTTCTTGAATATTATTGAATATAGTTTGTTTAAAATTAATTTCTTGTCTTCAGATTGCTAAAAATTTAGTAGCATGTTTCAGAAAGAAAGTCTTTAATTTCACAATTGTAATACATTGAAAACTTTGTAGAATGTCCAAACTCTTACTATTTTCAGTAAATAGCAATAGCACTTATATACCACTTTATTGTGCTTTTCAGCCCTCTCTAAGCAGTTTACAGAGTCAGCATATTGCCCCCAACAATCTGGGTCCTCATTTTACAGAAGGATGAAAGGCTGAATCAACCTTGACCCTGGTGAGATTTGATCTGCCAAACTGCTGGCAGTCGGTGATCAGCAGAAGTAGCCTGCAGTACTGTACTCTAATCACTGCGCTAGGGTCAGTGTAATTCAGATCTATTAGTCACTGCTGATCACAGGTTGAATCTATTAGTAGTAATGAACAAAATTTGTAAACTAAAACAGGAATCCCCAAATCCCAGGCTGCGGCCCCAGTACCAGGCTGCAGCCCATTGGGAATTGGGCCGCACAAGCAGTGAGCGAACGCCCGAAACTCCATTTGTCTAAGGGCACATGTGTGAAATCAACCCCTCTGCCCCCCGCAAATCCGCAGATCTGGAAAGGTTGGGGACTACTGTGATCACAGGAGCCATTCTTTCACCATCCTTGCACTCTGCAAATCTATTGAAGACTAGACAGGCTACATGTGATAGGAGCTGAAGTTCAATACATCTGGCAAATGCTCATTGGGTGGAGGGTTGAGAAATCTCTCCTTAACCATTAAGGGACAGGAATTATTGAGGGGGATTTGGTAGAAACAGCAAAGATTGAATTACACATTCTCACCTCTGGTCTATGCTTCCTATTCCATAAGATTTGATTTAAAGCCCCTGTTAGACTATTTCTGTGGCATTTAACAACTTGAATTATTTTTCTGAAAACTAAAATGCTTTAAAAACAAAATCAATGAATGTGATGCAGATGTTATCACAAATGTAAATATATACTCATACTCTGGGTTGTGGACGTAAAGGGCATACATAAAAGTATTCTACACTGATAAACTAGGCAAACACATAACAGCTAAAATAACAAAACTGTTGCTAAATCTTGTTCTCAGGCTCCTCAGGTAAGTATTTTAATAGTTACTATCCAGAATGTCACAAATCTGAATATAATGTGCCCTGTATGCAAAAGCATGATAAAAATCATTTCACCGAGAAATTGCTTTAAATAATTTCACCGAGAAATTACAACACCCTACAGTAAAAACAGTGAAATATAGGGTCTTTTAAAAATAGCTAAACCATAGCTGAAAGCACTCAGGAGTATAGCCAATGGTGACAGATGATCTGAGTTGTAATTCTGTAATATCTGGTAGGCTGCAAGTTCTCCTATCTTGACCTACATAATATAATCCTACAGCAATACTCTAAAGCAGTGTTTCTCAACCTTGGCAACTTTTAAGTTGTGTGGACTTCAATACCCAGATACCCTTCTACTGCACTGGCTGGGGAGTTCTGGGAATTGAAGTCCACACATCTTAAAGTTGTCAAGGTTGAGAAACACTGCTCTAAGCAAATGAAGTGGTTTGAGTACACAAGATAGAACAGAAATTATTGTTCCTGAAAACGGATTGAACGTGCTATGAAAAAAACCTTCCACTCAGGATAAGAAATTCCAACATTTTAGACTTGGCTGTCTTGTGAATCATATGACTCTTGCAGTATAACAATTAGGGTGTTTGTGCCCATTCCAGTACAACTAAGATCAAACAAATAAAGATGGGAATAGAGGTAATAAAACATGGTGGGGGGGGGGGAAGGAAAATATAAGATTGTGAATTGACTTGCTTTTTAAAAATCCCACTTGCATACGCTTTGGATAGCAGTAAAAACTGAACAATCGTTTGACAGATAAGCTAACTGATAAGTTTAAGAATTTATTTTGCTACTTGAAGTAGAATGGAAAATTGTGTTCCCTCCTAAGTGCTGGATAACTAAAATTTTACTACTTTTTATGGCATTCAAATTATCCATCAGATGCACGTCCTATTTTTTTTTCCCTGGTTATTTCATTTTCTCCCCTCTATTCCAAAATGAAGCGCTATCATTTTTATTTTTTTCAAAATTTGTTGTTGCTTTTCATGGATGGGGGACTATTAAAGCAGATAAATACATGCAGGGGATGCCTCAGGACAAAATTAAAAGAATTAAGATGGCAGCACTGCTCCGATCACACCATTTTGAGTGCTATCATGGCTTTTTGACTGTACCCTGCGGACACCTCTGAATTATTGCGTATCTAAGATAAAGACCTGGGGATTCTCTTACACCACAACTGAGGCTTTGCACAAGGCGGCTACCCAACCCATCCATCCTCAATGCCAATTAAGATCTAGATCTTATTTCTAATTTCTAATTAGATCTTATGTCTTAAAATCTAATTTCTAGATCTTAGCAATAAATCTGGGGTTGAGTCAAACTAGAAAATAGTTGGGGGGGGAGTGCAGATGTGGTCTTTCTGCTTCAGAGAAAGGAAAGACCTGGAAGAGTCACCAGATGGATCTTCAAATAAGATGCAAAGCAAAGTCAACTGTAAATAAAATTTGAATCAGGTCAAATGAAGTTAATCCTGCAGTCTCAATTAAGAAAAAAATAAAACAGCTACTTAAGATATCCATTGTTCTTTAGCAGCTAGTCTTCCACAGATTAGAAATATACAAATCAGTAATCATTTATTGTCAAAGGGACTGTGATAAACTATAATGAAGTTTGCATAGTTTTGGCTTTACATCTCTGTGAATTGTCAGAGTTTATTTCATACAGGTAGTCCTCATCTTATAACCCAGAGATTGAGAGAACATAGGTTATTCTTTACACT